GAGCGCAGCACTCACATAGCACTTAGTTTGTTACTCATTCGGACACCTCGGGAATGTATCGGTCGTGTTGGCGTCGTCGGCGTGCCCTGAAGGCGATGTTATCAACAGCCCGTCCGTCACGCGGGCATTCCCCCTCCTGTGGAGCGATCGACACCAAGTGCCGACATCCGGGTGGCTCGCTTGCACACGAAGCCATGAACAGCAGCGCAGGTGATGACAAACGCAGCGACGACAGAATCCGCCGGACACGCCGGCGAGTGGTGCCGCCAGGCGCTAGGTGTCGGGACACCAGTCGACATTCCACGACGCGACCCGCCGCAAGGCGCGACAATTGTTCCGCGCTGCTCGGAGTCACTGCAAACAGTGACAGCACGTACACAGCCTCGGGCGATTCGCCGTCTGGCAGTGACTGATGCGCGCCCGGCTGGCGATGAGAACAACTCGCGTTTGTGAACGCGTCTGACCAGCCGCATGGGCCGTATTTCAGGGGCATGCGTGTTTAAAAACACGTGACCGGTGGGAGACGGGAGTTTGCACATGTCGCGCGTTTCGCCTCAGTAAGAACAACGTAACGGGGACGCGTGTTGTCAGCACACACACACACACACACTAAGCGCGAAAGTAACACAGATAAGACAGAAGTAATAGCCTTATTCCTCAGAGCAAAATAGGAAAATGGAGATATAGTTTAGTTGATATTTTGGCAATGTGCAACTTCTGCTGTTGTTTCGATAAAGGCATGTTGCCGAAATATCAGCCCAACTATATCTCCATTCTCCTGCTGTTTTGTTTTTCTCCAGTGAATAAGGCTATTACTACCGCCTTAACCATGTCAATAATGCCCCTCGCTAACGTACAGAACAGCTTACGCAATAGAAAACAGAAACCGAATAGAAAACAACACGTTGTATCCGGCAGGCCCCGCAGCGGACCGGGCGTGCGTTCGGGCGGGTCAGGCGTTCACGCGCAGCTGCAGTCGAGGCGGCCTACACCTCGCGGACTGAGCGCACCAGGGCACTGTGCGGCGGTGTGCTGCACTTAAGCGAAAACCATCTCTGATATTTGTGTAGCCTTGGCTACGTCTGACAAGTGGCCTAGGAAGGTGACAACGGTTCACGAAGGAGTTTTCGCAGTTCCGCGCGCGGCGACACTCCCTCATGCTAACCAATAGCCGCAACGTAAGGAGAATTGGCTACAAACATGGCGTAAGATCCTATGCAGTTGGGATAGTCTGAACCCTCCCCCCCAATCCGATTAAAAAATAAGCCCCTGGATGTGACAGGGACCCCCTTAATTTTACACACCAAACTTGCAACAAACAAAAAACAACAAAAACGCAAGCATTTATCAAACAACACTTTGATATTCTCCAAATGCAAAATGAAATGCCCAAATCCGGCGACAAAACAGCATCTGGGTCAGACTGGTCACCCCTGGGCAGAGTCGGCTTGCTTTACGAAGCTGCTAACCTCAGTCACCAAGTGTAGGTACGGGTCGTCGAGCCGGAATTCCACTCAGAAGTCCGCGGGTACAAATATGGCGGACCGCGCTGAGTCCATCTGCTCCCATTGCCCCCCCCCCCCCCCTTCCCCCCAGGGTCGACATCGTTACAGGGGAGCTCTGCAGTTCGCTACAGCTGGCGACATTACCTGTCGAAAACTGCTGTATGGACGATTGCACATTGTTTCGACTTTCGACAGAAAGATATTTCGCCTCAGTTATATAAATGCTGCATGATCTCTAGTGTGTATACACTTTTTCTAGCATACTTTTATATCTTCGGATGACCTGAGTTGGTGCCCATTAAGCACACAAATTAATGGTTATCACTGACTGATCTGACCGTAGTTGTACGGCGAGCGAGTGAAGACGGCGACAACGGGGCCTTCGTCTCATCGCGTTTGCTTCATGATACTCTCTTGTCTGCCTCTTCCCCCGGCCGGGGTAAACAGCCGGGGTGTTTACAGCCTGGTGAACAAATTCGTGACTCTCCCTTCCTTCTGTTCCGCTTTTTGTAGCCCTCGCGCATTTAAACCACATGCAAACCCAGCGGCGTTCTAGAAACGAAATGATGACACTGGCCGTTTCCATGCGACCCTAATCACGCGATGTTATAAGCAACTGCAGAACAATCATTCCATATGGAAAAGACCCACACTATGCATTACTGGACTAAGATCATTCAAGGCGAATTGCACCTGGCACTTGGACTTGCATCCGGGCTGGATTTCAGTTAGGTACAGAGCGATCTTGTTGGCAACGCTTTTTCAATTTGCTTGTCTCAATCTTCGCCAGGCTTTTATGTTTAGTGGCATGCCTTCTCTGCTTTAACTCCTCATGAGCATGACTTCAGCTACCCCGGATTCGTCTCAGCCACACCCTGATTAGCCTGCAACGTTTGCGTGTTTGCTACCAAATGTATGGCAACAAGCTGGTAAGCATATCGTAATGTTTCGGCGAGGGGCGTGGCAAATATGTGGATTTTTAAATCGATGCCCTCCCTGAACCACCCAAAATTATCGCAAATCACAACCCGAGTTTACATTTGCATTGGGGCCCAGTCCTTCCTCTGGGAAATGTTCACGTATCACGCTGTATTTGCGAGGATTGTTACCCACACGTCACCTAAGCAAATTACTTATACAGTTTGAGGACGAAGAGCCGATATTGCTCATTTGACCACGATGAATGCTTCAGGGCAACAGACGGCTTATCACTCCCCACTCCCCCCACCCCCGCACACTGGACGACGTACCACTCCCCTTGGTGACCGACCATGGACCGTGTACGTCGTGTATAGTCCATGGCCAGACGACTTTTCCCTCTCTCCTCCTGGGCCGACCATGGACCGCGTACGTCGTATACAGTCACTCTCCAGACCACTCACCGCTCTCCCCCTGGCCAGGCCACGGACCGTGTGCGTCGTATACAGTCCATGGCCAGGCGACTTACCGCTCTCCTCCTGGCCAGGCGACTTACCGCTCTCCTACTGACCCGGCCGACTTACCTACCGCTCTCCTCCTGGCCAGGCGACCCGGACTGGTGACGCTTGGAGACCGCCCCGCAAGTCCGGGCAGGCTCGCCAGGTTCAGGCGCAGCAGCATGTTCCTGGATGTCTCCATCTCGCCCAGGTTCTCAGCCTCTCGAATTCCAGCTGCTCCCCAGTCTGCGAGATAAGTCAGAGGCGTGGCAGCGATGGTGCGTCCGTTTTCTCAACCACCGTCACCTTTATGAAACAATACAACAACGCGGAATATTCGCCTTTTGAGTCTCGAATAAACGCTCGCGTGATCGCCGTGCCCATCAAACACCGACATACAAGCCACACGACGGGTGGCCGCCAGTATCACGTCCACTGCTGCACGTGTAATGTAGCACAGCCTCAGGAGCTTTCTAGCGCCATCGTAAGTTAAACCGACGCAGATACGGTACGAACCCAGGGTCTCGCAATGCTTTCAAAAAACACTTCGGTGGTCCGTGTACGCTGTTTTCCTCATATGAACGATACTCCAACGCACTGGTCACCGTCACCCCCCACGGCGTAAGCTTGCCTTCTTAACGAGCAGCGAGAACTTCTGAAGAAGCTTTTTGGTGGAGAAGTACCAAAACCGCTCCGACTGCGGGTAGATCCGAACCCGGGACTCCAGGAGGAACCTGACCGGCCTCGTGGATGCCCTCTGAAAAGAACAGAGCCGGCTGTCAGAATCAACCCTCACCCACACACGGGGAGAGGGGGGGGGGCGAAGTGAAATGTTGATCGCTGGGGCCTCAACATAACATCTTTGAGTCACCGCTTCACGCAAACGTTCACATGTGTTAGCACCTGTAGGAAGGCTCGGACTACAGTCCTGATCAGCGGTGTTGCTGTTCACACGACGCTTCGGTTCACCGCTCGCTCGGGTCGTGGTCGAGCATTGTGGCCCTGAGAGCGACCACCAGATATTCTGCCTAGAAGCCCGGATCGGCCGGCTGACGCACGCGCATGGCTTCGCACCGAACAAGTGAACCTAACCAACCAACGCCAAACGATGGCTGGGGAAGTGACTGTCTGAAATGTTGCGTGAACAATACCACTAATGGCACAGCCAATAGTCTCAATGAACATTCCACAGTTTGCTTTGTTCTCACTTGATGTATGCAACATTTACCAAGTAGAATCGACAAGCAGAATATAGGGGGCCCACAACGCCAGGCGCAGGGATCCGTCGGGGCGCACATGCAATGTGCAGGTCAGCTGACAAACCCACCAACAGAGGGCAGTTTAGTGCTTCTCCCATAATGGTGCCACGCACAAACACACCCAGCCTGACCTAGGACAGTGCAGTGCTACCACCAATGACCAAGTTGCCCACACCCATCCTGAACTAGGATGATGCCGTGCTACCACCAATGACCAAGTTACCCACACCCACCCTGGCCCCAGGTCAGCAGGTGTCACCCACCAATGGCCAGGTCACCCACACCCACCCTGACCCGAGGTCAGCATGTATCATACCCTAATGGCCAGGTTACTCACACCCACCCTGACCCGAGGTCAGCATGTACCACCCACCAATGACCAGGTCACCCCACACCCACCCTGACCCGAGGTCAGCATGCATCGCCCACCAATGACCAGGTTATCCACACCCACCCCCGACCCAAGGTCAGCATGTATCACCCACCAATGACCAGGTCACCCACACCCACCCTGACCCGAGGTCAGCATGTGTCACCCACCAATGACCAGGTCACCCACACCCACCTGACCCGAGGTCAGCATGTGTCACCCACCAATGACCAGGTCAGCCCACACCCACCCTGACCCGAGGTCAGCATGTATCACCCACCAATGACCAGGTCGACGGCCGATCGACATCACGAGCGGCAGATCCTTGGGCGTCTCCTGGTTGAGCAGCGTCAGGTTCGGGTCGCCTGCGTCCCATAGGCCCACCACGCTGTAGCAGTGCCGATCACCCACCACGCTGCCCATGGAGGGCTGGCGGAGCAGACACGGCCCGGGCCGGGTCACCAGCGTGTCGGGCCGGGCAACACGCTCGCACCGGTCAGCCAGGCGCACAGGGACACACATGAGTGTCCCCACCGCCGGAAGACGATGGTGGCCATGAGTGTGATAATAATAAAAAATAGCAATACTATTGATACGGCTCATAGTAATAACAATAATGGTAATAGCAATAAAAATAAAGGTAAAATAATCATAACACTCATCATACTAATAATAAGTCAGAATAATAACATTCTAATAACAATAATAATAATAACAGTGCTGTTGATAACCACGATGATAATGACGACGATGATGAAGAATATGAAGATGTCATCAAGCACACGCACACGTGCCAGCCACCACATCAAGTCAAGCAGCATACCTGTATCTCATCCAATAAATCATCACCTCATCAGTCAATTTTCTCATAATTTACGCCGCTGTACCTGCCCGGCAGCAGGTCAGCCCACATCGCCATCGCGCCGCGACCCGTCCGGCGCCACTGACCATCTCCAGTAGCGTCATGTCGCCGTGTTTGACGTTCTTGCCGGGCGCCACCAGCAGGCCGAAGCAGCGCTCGACGGTGAGCGGCGGCAGCAGGTCGCTCGTCTGCCGCACCGACACCAGCACCTTGCGCTGCGTGTTGCAGCGCAGCTTGAAGCCGCCCTTGTCGCGCGGGATGGCCGCGTACACGCCCTGAGCGCCGATAGGACCGGCGTGACGTCGTTGCGAGGGGGCCGACTGGGGTGGGAGGTTGTGTCTGTGATGCGCATCGGATGTTGACCTGGATATTATATCTGCTCAAAACAAGTTTTAAGTCTAAATACGTTTCTTATTAGCTGGATAAGGGCGAGATCACAATATTTATAAAGACAAAACACAAGCGTACATGTTTTCCATGTCAAAGTCGCCACTACGTAAGCATGGAAGAAAAATCCACAGGTGCCATGAGGCAAAGCTGAAGGCTTCCCTACCACGCGGCATCTTTTCACAAACATGCTGAAATACAGCATGAATCTTGGCATGATGCTTCGACCAGATGGCACAAAACCCCCTGACCAGGAATAAAGATATATGATAACTGCAACGGCGTGGCACCGAAATAATACATCACCTCCGTACCTCTGAAAACCAGAGGCAACTGGCTGCAGAGATACGTGCATCCGCATGCTGTTCCTTCACAATATGCGCTTTAAGCTGACATATACGACACTGGCTGCCAGGGGGCGCGTCCCGAGCCTTGCCTGCGTCGCCGCGTGCCCCCGACCCCGCCGAGCGGCACCCGCCCGCTGGGAGGCGCACCGGGCCGCCTCTGCCCTGACGGCGACCGGCGGCGCGCTCACCTTGGCGTCCTCCTCCTGCATCTCAACGGACAGCTCGAAGTCGTAGCGACAGGTGCGCGGCGCCACGTCCACGCCGTCCTCAGCCGCCCCCTCCGCCGACTGCTTCCTGAAGGCGCGCGCGAAGCAGCCCAACACCCGACCGGACTGGGGGCGCGAGTGCGGCCCGGCGTCAACCCGCTGTCCGGCGGAGGCATACCTGCGGCTGGCGCGCCGCACCCACCGCCGGCAAGCCGCCTGTGCGGCGTGAGTGATGCTACCACAGTCCATGGCTTGCCGAGGGCGGGCGAGGTGACCAAATACAGCACGCTGCGGCGTCCCACATGCAAGCGCGACAGCCATGAGGTAGGGGTAAGGGGCGTCCCTTGTACAAAGAGATACGGTTCCATCCAATCACACGTTTACCGCTTATCGAAGGAAAGGCGCGGCCATGGACACACAATCCACATCATATCACCACGCTGCAGGCGGGAGCTCCGCACCGAGCTGTTGACATTGGGAGCGCTTTGGCCAGCCTGGCGCGCAGGAGCGGCGGCGACCGAGGCCGGCGGCTCCGGGGGCCGGCGCCGCCGGCCGCACCGCCCGACGCAGGAGCTCACCGCACGGGCGGCGGCGCACTTGAAGACGTGACAACTGGAAGATGGCCGTCTCTTCGGCGTCGCCGCGTGAGCAGGTGAAGCCGAAGCACTGCTCCTCGGGGCCGCCCGCCTGACCCACGGCGCAGAACAGGATCCGGTAGACGGGGAAGCTGGTCATCACCGTCTCCGTCTCCTCCTCGTACACCCTGCCGACACGCCGACCTCGCACGTCAACACTGCACGCGGTGGTCAACTGAGATAGCCGTGCTGATCACGCTCTTGCGCTAGAAAGCGATGTATTTCAAACTCATATTTTGCACACAAGTCAAGAAAAAGCCTCCTGCGTCTGAATAAATCATGAGCTCAACATGCATATCTGATAATAGCTTTGTCTTCATAACCAGCGGTTTTTAAATTTTATAGCGCAAAAATCAAAACCATCGTTCCGAAAATCGCAGGGCACTGGCGGAAAATCGGGATGCGAGTGGGGTGGGGGAGGGGTTGGGAAACTTTGAGAGCTGAGCGACCCACAACTCAAGCCACGAACAGGCCAACAGCCACCACGCACCGAGGCGACTTGACCGATTAGCACTGGCCGCCCGGGAAGCCCGACAAACAACAACACTGATAGCAGGCGCCTCACGCCGCCACCACACGCCGCGCGGGACGACGGCCACTCACACGACGCAGCCCTGCGGCGTGGTGGGCACGGCCACGCACACGGGGATGGCCTGGCGGCCGGCCTCCTCCGCGTTCAGGATGGCCATGTTGCGCTGGATCTCGGGCTCGCTGCGCGGCGCGTTGATGGACGCCGCGCCCAGGTAGAACACACGGTGGAACATGGCGTGGTCGTTGCCGGCGTCGGCGGCGCCCTCGGACGCGCTGGAGCCGGTCAGTGCTGCCGGAGCGGCACCGGCCAGCGTCACTGGCCGCGCCCGTCTCACAGCGAGCCGCGGCGCCGTCACCGGCCCGGCAGCGGGGCCTGGCCGTGGTGTGAGCACACCGCACAGGGCCGGCCACGACGACCGGCGCATGACCAGCCTTCATCTGCATACCAGCCGGATTCAGTACGGCCATGGTTGCTATGGACACGCCTAATAGATCCTAGTACAATATGCCACGCCTGCCACACCATATGCCATACCGCTAATGTATCGACACCACACCGGCATCGACCCACTATTGCAGGCGGACCACATGAGTTAGCACACTATATAAATCCTCAATGCTGTGCATTACGCCACAATACAGCACAAGGCGAAGGGCCATGCAAGCCCGTGTCGCTGTGGTCCTAGCGACCGCAGGCGCCGGCCGCCGTCGTACCATCACTCGGCTTGTCGTCGTCGTCCGTGGCAGCTGGGGCGAGGGCGGTTGTGGCGGGGCCGGCTGTGGCGGGGGCGGTGGGGGCGGCGGGGGCGGCGGGGGCGGCGGGGGCGGCGGCGGGGGTCTGCGCCGGGCAGCCGTCGCCGCCAGCGCCGCTGTCGGACGCCACGACGGCCTCGGCGTCGGCAATGCAGTCGTGCAGGTCGTCCATGAGCTGTGGCAGTCCGCCGGCGCCGGGCAGGCTGAGCCGCGGGTCGGCGTCGCTCGTCTCGGTCAGGATCACAAACTCGTCCGTGCTGTCCCAGTCGCCGGCAGGCTCAGCCATCCTCTGACGCCTGACCGCGCGGTGGGAGCAGCGGTCAGCCGACACAAACATCCTCTGACGCCTGACCGCGCGGTGGGAGCAGCGGTCAGCCGACACAAACATCCTCTGACGCCTGATCACGCGGTGGGAGCAGCGGTCAGCCGACACAAACATCCTCTGACGCCTGACCGCGCGGTGGGAGCAGCGGTCAGCCGACACAAACATCCTCTGACGCCTGATCACGCGGTGGGAGCAGCGGTCAGCCGACACAAACATCCTCTGACGCCTGATCACGCGGCCGGAGCAGCAGTCAGCCGACACGAACATTCTCTGACGCCTGACCACGCGGCCAAAGCAGCTGTCAGCCGACACAAATATCCTCTGACGCCTGACCACGCGGCCGGAGCACCGGTCAGCCGACACAAATATCATCTGACGCCTGATCACGCGGCCGGAGCAGCGGACAGCCCACACAAACATCCTCTGACGCCTGATCACACGGCCGAAGCAGCGGTCAGCCCACACAAACATCCTCTGACGCCTGATCACGCGGCCGGAGCCCACAGCCGACACAAACATCCTCCGACACCTGATCACGCGGCCGAAGCAGCGATCAGCCCACACAAACATCCTCTGACGCCTGATCACGCGGCCGGAGCCCACAGCCGACACAAACATCCTCCGACACCTGATCACGCGGCCGAAGCAGCGATCAGCCCACACAAACATCCTCTGACGCCTGATCACGCGGCCGGAGCCCACAGCCGACACAAACATCCTCCGACACCTGATCACGCGGCCGGAGCAGCAGTCAGCCGACACAAACATCCTCTGACGCCTGATCACGCGGCCGGAGCCCACAGCCGACACAAACATCCTCCGACACCTGATCACGCGGCCGGAGCAGCGATCAGCCCACACAAACATCCTCTGACGCCTGATCACGCGGCCGGAGCCCACAGCCGACACAAACATCCTCCGACACCTGATCACGCGGCCGGAGCAGCGATCAGCCCACACAAACATCCTCTGACGCCTGATCACGCGGCCGGAGCCCACAGCCGACACAAACATCCTCTGACGCCTGATCACGCGGCCGGAGCAGCGGTCAGCCGACACAAATATCCTCTGACGCCTGATCACGCGGCCGGAGCAGCAGACGGCCCACACAAACATCCTCTGACGCCTGACCACGCGGCCGGAGCAGCGGTCAGCCGACACAAATATCCTCTGACGCCTGACCACGCGGCCGAAGCAGCGGTCAGCCCACACAAACATCCTCTGACACCTGATCACGTGGCCGGAGCAGCAGTCAGCTGATAAAACACATGCGCACACGCTTGAAAACCAAACGAGGAGAGAAAACAATCAGCAAACTGACACGAGTTCCAAACGACGTTCCATATCCCGTGATTCCACATGATAAAATGCAAATGGAGGACTGCACAAAAGACGCGTACTCACATTTTGTTTGATATCCAAGAACACCGCATGTGAACTAATAAGAGGCCACCATAAAATGAGAACCGGGAGAACTCCACACAACGCAGGTCGCCATGCAGACAGATCGCCGCGCCCATCCACCATTCGATGCCTAATGGTTGAGACCCTCTAGCACTTCCGAAAATGGTGATCCTAGGTCCAATCAAAGACGCCAACTTCGCCCAATTTCAAAAGTCTTGCTTGCAGACAACTCAGTTCTAAGAAATCATCCGTGCGGACAGCACACAAGCTGAGCTGTCTGCAAGCAAATATTTGGAACGTGGCGAAACAAACCACACTGACCTGAGTTAGTCGCTATTTTGGTGGAGATTTGATCGGTCGGATCTGACAAATCTATTGTCTGTACGCCATACAGTCTCAGCAGCTGAGCAGGTGGTAAAGACTAAATGATACACTCAAGCAACAATCTTGAAATGTGGCGATATTGATCAGCTTCGCTGTGACCTAGGGTCCCCACTTTTGGAGCCGAGATAAGAAAGCAACTATTTCATATCGAATAGCGAAGGTTTCATGACGATCGAAGCTAAATAAAAGGTGTCCTAAATAATGCATTCCAGCAGCTGAAATCGTTACGGACTCCCGTGCCGCACGTTTACTGCTCAATTTGTGTACAAACAAACGGTGTTATCTCGTGGGCCCAACCGCAGTCCCCAGTGCCACCCAAAATGCTCCCGGTCGTTATTGATATGATATAATCCTGTCGATACGACAATGTTCTCGGCAGTGAAGCTGCCGAGAGTATTGTCTAGTGTTCTGCACTTCGATGGTATATGAGAATTCAAAGCTATTTGCCTTGGTATTTATAGCACCCCCAGCAAGCACCTTCCTCTCATCTTGCAACTTTTGCGACTTTTTTGCCGCATCATACAAGCTGAAGGTTAAGACGCTTGCCTCCTAAGGATATGCCAAGAGCTCGTGGTCCAAATCATCTCAGTACAACCACCTAGGGCAAATACAATATATAGCGTAATTGGCGCCACAAAAAATCGCGAACAAATCTTTAACTACCAGTTCATTCCTCAGGAAATCGCAAAGTGACACGCTTCTGATTCACAAACGGAGCCACAAAATCAGGGGGCAAATTCGCTCGACTCTTCGGGCAACTCACAATAGTTTTGTGTCGAAAAAACACGTGGAACTGACGCACCTAGCGCAAGATCAGCTAACGGCTGAGGTCGCGGCAGGACGTGATCCGTATATGTTTCAGTTCGCAGTACAAAATGTCATTACTCTGGACAAGTAATTTTCTAACTACAATTCCAAATTGCAAATTTAAAGTTCAAACTAAAGATTTTCAGAGAAATATTTTTAATGGACGTTAAAACTTTTAATGGACCGTTTCGGACTCCCAATTTTGAACCATTTTGGTAAAATCGGCTTGGAATTCAACAAAATACTAAATTTCCATTGATTTCAGTCTATGTCGGGATTTCGGCTGATACGTTACGGTCTACACGACACAGTTTGCTGAGATGATTCTGAGTCTGTTCCAGGGTGGTATATGATATGTTAGCACTTACCTGATTGCCAATTGATGACATCTGGAAGCATCCAAGGTCACTGTTCCTGAAAAAAACAACAGTTGGAATGACCATTGCATCAGAGAGTTGTGCACAGCACATACTTCATGGGACACTACTTGCATGGTTGATTCCCCAACATGGGTATTAACAATATGAAAAGCATGGCCATCAGCTTGGTGTGAACACTGGACACTGAGCACAGCTATCTCAGTTGTTGATTGCAACACAAGGAATATCAAGCATTTGCAGAAATAAATCAAGCCCATGACGGTTAACTGCATATGACACTAAAGAATGAATGGATACTACATTTTTACTTTAGCTGTAACAAGCCACAATTTTTGAGAGGGTACTGGACATATTTTCTGATCTTCCTTTCATTGATTTTGCTGAGGTGTAATTATGCAAGGCCTACTGTCAGGTGCCATTTTGGACAAAATCCTACCTTGGAATAAAAATAGACTTGGTGTCTGAGACTGGAATGCTACCAATCACAGTATGGGCCTGAATTCAACTGAACTTGTGTATTGTGTGTGCACAAAAAAATGGTGTTGAGCACTAGATTAAATTCCCCAGCAAAAAAAGCTTAATCTTCCTAAGCTGTGTTTAATATAAATGATGAATCTGGTCTTCTTGTTGGGCCACTACATCACTGCTTGATGTTATAATGCTTCAATTATGTGAAATGCATGGCGTCCACAGCTACTGTTGTCATGCCCTTATCCAGAAACATTTCCCACTTCAAAGGCATGGTGCAAAGCATGGGAACTGGTCTGAAAGGGTTTGACCAACTAAAACAAGTGCAAAATATGATGTAATGAGACAATGTAGCATAGCTCTGGCATGCCTAAAGGTTTCAACCTCACAACACAAACCTTTCCATTGCCCAGCATCTCCACATTGCTGATAATACATTCTCAAGATTTAATCCAAATATTTTCCATGGATGGATTTATGGGATCAGAGCTCATGCTAAGCAGTGCTTGTTGTGTGAGCCCTGCCTCCTACCATCTGATCATCAATTTAGACTACCATCAGATCATGCAGGTCAACATCAGAATTTGGTGGAGAAAGCTTAATGCGCTGCAATGTGTGGCATGGCCGGCCCTGCCTTCCAACATCATCTGAGTCATCTGACATTTATCATGGCTGCTGCCCACAGCTGCATGCCATATCTGTCAAGGGCAAAAAGAGAATACCTTAAGAGACTCAAACCCACCCCACCACAGTTGGGTGAATCTGGAGGAAGGCACTCTAACCAGCTGAGCCATCAGGACAGACATATAATACTATACATACATGCATTTTATGTCAGCACCTTGGAAAATGCCATTAACTACAATTTCAGCTCCCATTGGCCACTGTCACTCTTAGCCTGGACCCTGAGGTTAAAGGTTCCCTTTTAAGTTGCTGTACAAAATTAG